TTTCACTTCCGACCGCGATTAATGGGTGTTCCGTTCCACCGGCATCTGCTGATTGAGACTTTAAATGATGGTCTGATAGAGCCTGGTTGGCGCGCGCAAGCCCCGCCAAGTGACGACGATCAAACTGGGTGAACACAATTGCGATCGAGGGAAAGAGAGAGAGAGAATAAAGTATATATTATGCGAAGAGCAAGCTTCACTTGATGAAATCCTCTTGACTTCGTCATTTCCCTTTTCGCTCTTTGCTGCGGAGAAAAAAAAAGTACTCTCAACACTCCCTTCCCCTCCTCCTCCTCCTCCTCCTCCTCCTCCACCCCGGCGGCCGCCCACATAGTCCCTGCGGTGAGGACGATGGGGTTGTTGTCGGACAATTCATCAGAACTCCAGCTGTATAGCCATCTCGCCATTGTTCTCGGCATCGGTCTTGGACTTGTGACCTTCGTCATCATGTGTTTGTTGTAAGTTGCTGGTTTCTCCGCCCTTTTTTTCTACTTCCTCCCCCCCCGTACCCCTCCTCTCCTCCCTCCCTCCCTCCCTCCCATCCGCACTCCTCCTCACCCGTCACAGTCTAAAATCCTTCTGCCCACCATTACTGACAGACAACAATGAGGCTCAGCTTGAGCCTTTTCGTCAATCGCCGCGAGCGTCGTCCCGCCACCAAGGCCAAAAGCAGGAAAGGCGACTCGCACGACAAATTGCGTAAGCTGGACGCTGTCTCACCAGCTCGTACCCTGGAGGATTGGTGGTCGCGAGCCAAGCTACCCTCCGAGGGCGCCGACGGGCAGTTCATGTGGTATAGTCAGCCCAGCAACCGCCATCTTCACCGTTACTCACTCGGTCAATCTACAGTGTCGTTTGCCTCGAGTCTGTCCAGCGCTCCCAAGAGATACGAGAATTGAAGTGTCTACACGTTTTCCATCGAGAATGCCTAGAAAAATGGTACCTGCAGGACCATTTCAACTGCCCACTCTGCCTCCGGGCCTATTACGTGCAAGAGACATATTCCAGCAATGATTTCGTTTGGATGGTATGATTCAGCAACCATTCGCCCCATAACGCCACTTTACAGCACTTGCTCGCAGCGACACTTTCGAAAGCGCCCGTCGAACGATGTACCCTGATCTTCTGCCACCGGCCTACCCTCGTCGCGCAGGTGCTATACCTTCTTCCTATTCTCCTCATGATGAACGGTTTGCGTCACAGGTTGTCGCACAGTGCATGCTCGCTGAAATCACGATTTTTTATTTATGCTCATGAGTCATGATTGATATGATACCCTTATTCTATGCAATTGAACCGGTTACATTCGGAACCAATCCTGTGTTACATGCTGTATTCTTGAATCAATTCTCAGATAAAGTGCTTTGATGCATCCTACATTGGCTTGTCCGCATTTCATACTTCTCGTGTCACTGCTGACTCGATTAACCTTCGTCCTACCACTTTTTGTTCCCGATCTTCAGCCCGTGCTTAGTCCTCCACAGGAATCCTCCACAGAAAACAAGTCGAACACTTCAAAGTTCCCCCGGCGATGGTATCGCAGCTCAAAGCGCTTATCGAAGCGAGTCTACTTCGGTGTCGACTGATCATCACTCACGTGGGCCTCGTTTGACTCGGTATTGACCAGCAGTGCCCTATACAAGTGGAGGAATTGAGGGCTCTGAATTGGGCTAAATGATCGTGGTTGCCATGGTTTCCCGTGACAATGATCAGACCCATGATATGACTGTTTTTGACGAGGAGATTCAAGAGCAGAATCAAGCGTATTTCTTCATTGCAGTTTCCCGTGTATGGATGGAAGCTCTGCGCAGTCCGGCCAGAAGGGCGTGTCACGCCTACCGTGCAACGACCACTAATGCCCGAGATGAAAGCACAGAGACTAGAGCCATTTCATACAGTCATTTCTCCTGTGCACAAACGCATTTATTCTTGTTGACGACATAATGCCATGTGGTCTTCTTCACATAGTTGGTCCAGGATCACGCGGCTCTCTACTGGCGGATGCACTGCCGGGACATGATTCCGTTGGATCGGGGATAGCTCGACATTATAACATCATTCACCGCAGATAAACACGACAATATGTCAAACTTACATCTTGAGTGGCGAAGTAGCGCCTCCTAGTCGCATCTCAAAGTCCTTGTCCGGGAGTTGACACGCAATGACCTAAGCGACCACACCATTCGTCGTCCATCATAGGTCGTTTTCTAGCAGTTTCCCCTTCACAACTTCATCAGTATCTAGAGCCTACATGTGCTCGAGACATATACGTTCTTCACACCCGCCTACGGTGGACCAAATCTAAGTTGACGCAGAGTCTTCCAGTGACTACACCTGATAGCAGAGATCGATACTCAAACCCCACCCACAAGCAGCGGTATACGACCGAGCATTTAACGAGCGAAATATACCTTCCAACCCTCCCATCTGAGATATCTGACACAGGCATGGCTCCCTTGAGAACGATTTGGACCTATTCTCAAGGATGGTTTCTCGCACCTCGATGCTGTGTTTGTTCAAGGCGTTTCCATTCAACGAAGCCCATCAAGCTCGAATGCGATCATCTATAATGCGTCAAATGCCTCAAGAGCTTCCTCATCAGGGCTACCCAGGACCCACGCTTTCCCCGCCCACGTGCTGCAAGACCGTGATTCTCCTGCGTCTTGCTAAAGAGCATATGACCGAAAAAGAGATCTACGAATACGACAAAGCCAAACTTGAATTTTTGACAACCAGCTGGACTCGCTGCAGCAAGAAGACGTGTCGCTAACCATTTCGCCGAACAGGGTCACAGCATATCATGCGAGATGCTTCTGTTGCAGTACCTTCACCTGTGTTTGGTGTAAAGCGGGCACCCCCCCCTCTTTCGGAATGAATGTGATAAGAAGCCTACTCTAAGCAAACTTCCATGTTCAGAAAACAACCTAGGCTGGCAGCAGTGCTCTGACTGCAAGGCTCTAGTGGAGAGAACAAGTGGCTGTAGCTCGACAATGTACGGTTGGGTTTTCCTGCTTCTGGTATCTGATTTCCGAAAATCGACACAATACAGGTGCTCTAGAACCAGATTCTGTAACGACTGTGGCAGAAGACGTTTGATCTGCCGCTGCGGGATGGAGCAAGCGAAGGAGTTTTACAGATTCGACAGTTGTCGAAGGAGGAAGATATACAGAGATGGTGGAACCTGCAATACCGCTTCGGGAATCTCCAGGGTTGAGACGGGGTCGCGCTTCGCAGCTGTTGTTGTCGTCTTGTTTCCGACTCGGATGTGAACATGCTAGTCGTGTAGGGGCATCTAGAGATTATATCACTTCTATTTCTAGATCTGTGTTCGCGCAATGAATGCCCCCACAATCGGATAAAGAAATGCTTGCTACCATGAGACCAATTGATCATTCATTTACCCGCACCTACTAATCAAGAAGACCCCCATCTCAATCCCTGAAGACCTCTCCCCTCTCAATCGTCTCGAAAGCCTTCATCGTATGCTCCCAGATCTTGGCCCTCATCTCCGCCAGATCGAACTTCTCGTATGCCTTGAGTTGGATATTCGACTCACCTTTCCAGCCCAGCGAGTAGACCCCCCTCCCCGGCCTGCCATCCGTGCCCATCGCCACATCTCCATTCTTCCGCCGATGATCCCCCACCGATGCCGAAGCCGATGCGCCGCCCGCCCCCCGCGGCGGATAGCGCGGCGCCGCCAGGCTCAGCATACGGGCCCCGCACTCCCTCGCCGGCACGGAGACCAGCCGCCCGAAGAGCGGCACAAACACCCAGCGCCAGCACACCCGGAACCAGGCCGGCAGCTCCGGGTTCGCGAAGGCCGGGCCCAGCACCAGGCCCGGGAAGATGTGGACGAGCCGCAGCCGGCCGCGATGCCGCTCGGCCAGCTGCTCCATGAACCACGTGTGCATGTAGATCATGTGCGAGCGCGCCTGCGTGTAGCTGTAGATCTGGCGGTTGCGCAGCGACAGGTCGTCCGCGTAGAGCTTCCCCTCATACCCCGCGGCGTAGACGGAGACGATCACTGCGGGCAGCAGGGACTGCAGGAGTAACGGGAGGAGGTTGGTGATTGCTCGCATGCGCGAGTAGTAGAGGAGGGCCATGGTCGTGTCCAGGCCTTCGGCGGTATCTGTATGCGAGGTAGGGAGGGGGTTTGTAAGTAGCAAGTTGTACAAAATGCAGATTTCCATATGAATTTTGTGTGCTTCTATTCCTGTGTCGAGAAGGACGGTTGTAAATCTAGAAACTCGAAACGCAAAAAAATACCTTTTCGGGGTTGGAAGGGTGCTCCGCCGTGGGACAGCATCAGATAGTCGATTCGCGGCGGATTCGCGCTTCGTTGGCCGTGCTCTCGCTCCCGGGACAGGATCTCGGCGCAGACGCGATCGACATCCCGGAGCAGCGAGAGGTCGTTGGCCTGCACGAAGATGTACTCGCCCGCCGGGTACAGGGCGCGACATTCGGCGATGATGGTCTCGGCGGCTTGGGTCTTGCGGCCCACGAGATAGGCGCGCAGGCCTTTGCCTCGGTGTTGGGATTCGGCGGTGGCCAGGGCGCGCAGGGTGTAGTGGCCGATCCCTGAGGTGCCGCCGAAGAAGACGGCCACCAGGGTTTGGCTCTTGACCAGGGTGGTGTTGGAGGCGTGGATCACGTCGAGGTTGACCATATTGCGAGGAGGGAGTTGAGAGGGGGGGGGGGGGTGAAAGTGAGGTTGGGAATGGCATGTGGCACAAGTTCATTAAGTACTTGCCCACCTGTCTCTTCGGGGATCTGGTTGGGATGGAAATTGCTATTCCTAGGGAGTTGCTTTTCATTGTATGATGTACCGGACAGTGCAGGACAAGGTGCCAGTCTGGTCTGGGGATACCGGACGGACTTTAGTTCTAATCCCGCCTTCGCATCCCCGGAGTTAATCTTTCTTTCTTTCTTTCTTTCTTTCTTTCACTCATTCATTCATTCATCCATCCTTTCCACCTCCTCGATCCCCTGGCCACGACCAGTGGGGGCTTTGCACTGAGACTGTCAGTTAAGCTCTGCTTGGTTCTTTCTCCACAATTCCCTATCCAAGTCTGGTACCTGAAGATCATTACATCACAACACTGATTCGGAGAAGGATCTAAACAATCCGTGTAGGACAGACTCGCATTTCGCCTGCCCAGTTCGAAGTACCGGTAAGGCGTCACGGTTGCTCCCATTGCGAAAGGAATCGGACAAAGGTGTGCTCGATTTCTTGCAGCTAGTCCGGATGCTTATCGATCCAGTATGATGAGAAGAGGCCGACCTGTGGGCGTTGCAAGAGGATAGGGTCCGCTTGTTCCTTGACGAATCAACCCCCTACTCTCACTTTGATCCCGTCTCAGCAGCCGACGGGCAGTCGGATTGATAATGAAGCTGTGGGAGGGGAGCCTAGCTTGGCCTCGCCCAGTAAGCCCGCTGGGTCGAGCAACACCTTGTCACCGCCGACGACTACGTTCTCCTTAACATCGTCGTCGGCGTCATCGTTGTCCAGCACCACCGGGTCCACAACAAGATCGGGCCGAACGACGGCGCCGAAATCGCAGGTACTGTCGGCCTTGGAGCGAGACCGGTTACGGCTGATGAACCACTACACCCTGCACACGGCGAAAGCGATGCTCGAGGTGACCCATCCGGGGCACACGAACCCATCGATCTGGGCCAGTTGGTTTCCCGAGCTCGCCTCCGAGTATGGCTTTCTCCAGTACGGGCTGTTGAGCATCAGCGCCTTAGATCTGGCTGTACGGGATGTCTCCCGCCGCAAGGCCCACATCATCCTGGCGATCAATCACTGCGATCTAGGAGTGGCCGCTGTTCGGCCATATCTAACCAACAACCATCATTCGAACCGAAACCCAGACGCCGTCGGTGCGCTTTTCGCCTCCAATGCTTTGTGATCGCGTATGCCTTCGGGATCCAGGTCTGCACCGAACAACCCGCCAGAAGCTCCATCCAAACCATACACGACATTCTAGTTCTCCTGCACCGGATCCCGCACAGTGTTGTGTTCCAGCACAAGGATTTATCAGCTCTGACCCCGTGGGTCTCCTTATATCCCCCGCCGCCTTCGGATCCAGACCGCAAGCTTCCAGCGGAAATCGAGGCTGCGCTCGACGCCGTCCGGCGACGTCTCGCAGTAGCAGGTCTCCCGACACCCCAAGCGACGATGTATATCTCGGCCATTCAAACACTGAGAAAAGCCCTTCTCATCGCGATCGAGTATCATAGCACGCATATGACGTTTGGATGCTTCCCAACGTGTGTAGCCTCGGAGTTCTGGACAGAGGTCCATGTAGGCGCGCCGGTGGCGCTCTGCGTCCTTGCGAACTATATGGTCATCTTGCATTGGCGGAGCTCCTGTGTCTGGTTTGGCACTCTTGCCAAGGATGTCGTCCATGCTGCTCGTCAGTCTCTTTCAGCTGAGAGGCTCCCATGCATTGCCGGGGCTATTTCGGAGACAGAACGTATGGGCGGCAACGAGGGACCGGCTGGATTGTCATCAGGATAAAGTGGCGTCGAGACCGGGTCTATGCAGAGCAAGAGTCTTGCTGGAGACAGAGTGTACTGTACTGTACCGTACAGTATAGACCTTCTAGCATCGTGGCACAAAGACAAACCAAATCCCCTACAAGTCGGCAAACCGAGGAAAGTGTTTCGAATCAGCCCGGCTCACCCCCCCTCAGTGCCATGCCTCCTTGGCTTTGAGCCCAAGTTCCCCAGCTGCGTTGCTCGTTACTTTCTCACTGCCAAACGAACAGGGCCTTCTGACCTCATCTCCCGCGACAGATGCCCGGATCCCTGACCCTCCTAAAGCCCAATCCAAGCTGTCGCATGCTCCCGAAGCCAGGGCCGATCGCAAAGACGGTCCCAACCACATTCGGCACAATCTGTTTTCAAAATCATGGTGCCAATCTTATAAACCGCAGCAATGAGGAGGTAGTAGATTGCAACCTTCTCTCAGTCTTCACAGTTCGACGCGAACCCAGAATAGCTTACTGATCGACCACCATCTCAGCCCTCTCTCGTCTCTCCATCACCGTCAACCGCTTGTTCTCCATCTAGCCAAGCATGAGCCTGCTGGCTTCCAGTACCGCCTCTTGTGCTACCGTGCTACCAAGTAGTTGCAAGTACGAATGAAGTTTTCACAGTTCGATGCCGTGCAGACCGACAAAAGCTTCGGACTTGTAAAGTACAAACTAGAATAGGAATGGACCCACTGATAAATGGCCAGAGAAAATAACATATACTGTACTGCAGTTTGTCGAAACCGTACTTACTATACAGTGTCATGGGACGCCTGAACTCAGATTGATCAGATAACACGCGTGGTTTCCGAGACTATGTCCTTGGGTACTGTACCCCCTTTTGTCCAAGTCTCTATACAGGGGACAAGAGTGAATGTGATCGGATACTACTACGGAATTATATTTACAGATTAGATTACAGGTAGTTGTAATACTCTGGCAGCCGGTATCTACAACTGTATTAGCCCGCTCACCAACTTGATCTTGATTATCTTTCTTCTTGATCGGGTCGGAAGATGAAAGCCTATGTACGCTTAGGCACGGTCACCATTGAAGCAGGGAGGCAAGGCATCTATCTGTATGGCGCGGGGAAATTGACGTCACGTCGGGAATCAGGCTGGGGAGGGGGTTTATTTAGGGGGCAGTACAATGGGAAATCAGGTACTGTACATCAATAGAATGTGTCTATGAGAAAATGCAAGGACAAAGTGTCAGAAGGTAATTGATCCTTCGGAGACACTCTAGGTTCAAGCAGTCATATGAACGCTTATGACATTTGTCATCAAGTAATTTGTCATTCAGACATATATCGTATACGTACAGTGTCAAATGTCATGATCGTAATGTGCTAATCACTGAACTTGTTGTATTGAGTCAAAATTCTAGATCATCCCATAGTCCACAACGCCATGAAAGCTCCTGCCTAGACCCATGAGGACCGCACCAGACACTAACACCAGTAAACACCTCGAAGACACTACTCCCTCAGGAGGAACAGACAATGCACATATGCAAGCCGATGATAAAACAAGAAATTTTGGGGCTATGCACAAATTATGCCCCGCGGAGGAGAAGAAGAGAATAAACAATACGGAGTGGATATCTGAAAGCAGAGGAAGGAAAGCAAAGATGATGAACGGGGCAGCGATCAATCGCGCTCTCACTTCACTCGTGTAGGACTTCCAGCGCTACCAACACGTCCACTAGCCTTGCGAACACCCTTTTCTGCGCGACTATCCGTCACACGTCTTGGGCTCGTCCGAACCTTGGTGACAGAGATCGCCCCGCTGCCGCTCTTGCTGCTTATTGGCGTCTTGGGTGCATATGTAGCTGCATCACCCCAATTCTCCCGATCATCATCGTTGAGGGTATAACTGGCGGTCACAGTAGCAGAATAACTGACAGACCGCTGGGTGGGAGATGCCACGGGAGATCTTGAGGAGCGCTTGGCTAGCATACGCAACTGAATTTCTTCTTCACTCTCGCTGCTGTCAGTACTGAGGCGATTGGAAGTCTTGTTCGTCTCTTTCTCGAGGATCAGACTACCAGAAGTGGTGCGAGAGTAGGGGTGGTGACGAGAGTCTTTGCGGTGGGACTTGCGAGGCTGGCCGGGTGTGGGTGCTGGTAGGTTCTCTTCGGCTTGTGTACCAGCCCCTTCATTGTGGTCAATCTCCCCGAGAGCGGCACGCTTGGAATGGCCATTGTTAGGTGGAGTTGCGACAGGCCCGTTAGCCCGCTGGCGGGTAGTCGGCCGGCCAGGCGTGATAGGCGCCGTTTGCAGTTGAGCAAGCTTCTCCTTCATGCTGTCCTCGAACCACCACTCGCGGAACGAGCCTTGGTTCAGGTGTAGCCAGTGTTGCTGGGGTCCAACGACCATTCCAGGGCGCATGAATCTCATGAAAGCAATAATCTCATTGGCAGTGAAGCCATATCTGTAGATGAGATAGGCTCCGATGAGACATCCAGTGCGGCCAAGGCCTGCCTTACAGTGGACCGCAATGCCCTTCTTCTTCTGCGTGATCATCTCATGTGCCATCTTAATGAATCGGCGTACCAGGGGCAAAGGCGGGCAAGTTCCGTCCTCAAAGATCATGTCGACATGATTGATTCCCAATGCCGTGAAGTAGGATGGCGAGTACAGCTCGGAATTCAGTCGCACAACAAGGCCCACGCTACGGGAGGAGAAGTGGGTCAAAACATTCTTGAAGGGCGTGGGTAGTTTCGAGGCCTGGACTTCCGCAATTGTAGAAGGCAGCGCAGCATATTCGGGAGTGTCACGAGGAATGACATCGATGGGTTGGTGTTGCGGGGAAGCGAAGGCTAGGAATTGCGGGGTGATCCAGTTGAAGTCACCCATATCAACACGCTCGTACTTCTCATACCTATGTAGTCATCCAGTCAGCGTTTAAATCAGAAACATCCGTAAGGCTGCACTTACTCCTCTAGGCTGAAATCTCTCAAGCCACACAGCGACTGCTCCTTGGCCTTCCACACTCCGTATACAACGTCCTGGATGTTGATGATGTAATCCGCCTGGCTGTATCCGGCGTCGCGGAATGGCATGTATGGCGGATCTGCCTGTGCAATGGGAGCCAGGGCCAAGTGTGGAGGCCAAGATTGAATGAGAACCATATAGCAAGCGACTAGGCAGGCTGCATTGGCACGGCTGCGCGAGTCTGTCTTGGAGTAAAAGACCACGGCGCGATCAGTGTTGGCGGGGTCTCCCAGAATCTCGTGGAAATGTACTGCAAAGCGATACAGATGTCCGATATGCAGAGGACCGAAGTCGGCGTGAAAGGAGTTGTATAGGAGAACATCGTCGACAGTAAAATATACGGGGCTGCGTTTCTTGCTGCTGGGAGTACTGGGCTGAGCTCTGGCAGATCGCTTGCTGGGAGACTTGGGTTGTTCGGGGTAGGGGAAAGGCGTTCTCGCATCGGGGGGATAATCGTAAGAGGCCAGGTAGAGACGGTCTAAAGTGATGACTCTCAGTACACTGCAAACGCAAGCCATCGGACAACCACCGAAGACCTTCACATCTCTCGCCAATGCTTCCCCCAGATGATGTTGGATAACGAACCTTGAATATACTCAATCACCTGGCCATAATCGCCGCTGCGTGTAGACATCTTGACTGAATTGACGCGGCTACCAAAACAATAGGCGCCGACAATGGAATTTGATAATAAACAATCGCAAGACCTCTTCGAAAGAAGGATTTATAGGACGTGTCGCTTTGACTAGATAAGATGCCGCTATGGATGGTAAGGACCTCTGCTGGTGAGAAACAGAGACGGGATGCAAGCAAGATGTCGGAGCTAGATAGTCATAGTCTGGTCTGATTGACACTCCCAAGCACAAGATGAAGCTATAAAGACGCGGGGTGGGTTGGCGTGTAGGGTAAGGATAGAGGCAGCAAGGCCGAGTAGGAGAGGATGTACAGATGATCGGCGGGGTGGGCGAAGGTCGGGTTTATAATAACAAGAGAGGACGAAGGGAGGAAGAGAGGAAGGTGAGGAAAAAGTTGGCTTGCACGAGAAGAGGATAGGCTCGAGGCCGATGGGAGACTCGTTTGGGGCAACTGCGATGCACGCTAAGTGGCTGCTGTTATGTTGTGGTGATCCCATTCAGGTCTAGTGCAGGCGGTTGACAGGGAAACGTAGCATGCCTCAGGCGCGGGAGAGCTGATTAGATAAGCTGACAGGGGGGGTAAGTTACAGAGTTACTGCTAACAGTGCTAAGCTAACATCCCGTTACCCAGTAAATTGTTGTATCCCCTAACAAACAAACACCCCGTCCGTAAACACAACAAATCTCGGTTCCAGCCCCCCCCCCCAAAACAACACTGGGCCTTGAGCGGCCCGGCCACGTGAGCGCCGCCTTGCCGGTGTTTGTTATGGCCCTACTCTAGCCACTGTTATGGTCTCCCGTTGTCAGTCCAACTTAATCTCTCGTCCTCCGGATTCAATAGTTTCTGTTGACTCCGCCGTCTGCAGCTGCCTTGGTGCAGTTGCCCAAGCCCAATAATCTGAGGTCATTGCCCCTCACTTGACTCGTACAGCGACCAATTGAGGAGATTGAGGTCATTGTTTCCGGAGGGATCACAATTTCATCATCAATATATATCCCGTCAGGTACATGAACAGACACTACCGTAAACGGCCAAGGCATCGATCGCCCTGCCCCTCCAGCTTGAATAAGAGTCTCCACGGAAAACCAGCTCAATAATTTCAGCATCATTTCCCCAGTGTCGCTATTACCCAAGGGTGAAACCCGTTGGGTAAACAACTGGTGATTCCGAAGAGACCGTCTGTAATGGGCTAATGTTCAAACAAGCCCTTTTTCTCCAACAATGCAACAGATCTATGAATCTCATCTCAATCCCGACGGGCACGACGGGGAAAACCCGGGGCATGGTACAACAACCAACAGGGATTCTCCCCCACCGGTGCCCAAGACGTCCAATGTCAATCGCCTTAGTAGCCACTGTAACGGTCGACTTGCATCTCTTGGATGGAGCCCAGGCAGACGATGATGCGAGCGAGTCCAAACTTGCCACTCATTTGCCCAAATATAGCTTGTGAAAGCAAGAATAAACATGCTGCTAGGTAGACTAAGTATCATCATTATGCAGCAGATTCAGTGAAAAAAAGAAAGCACAATGCTCAAAGCCTAAAGACGTCACAACCTTGACTAAGTATGGGCAGTGGGCACCAAGATTAAGAATATGAGCCTCAGGCGTCAAAGCTGACTCATCTCTTATCGAACATCCCACTTCTCCCCGCCCAAGCTTCAACAGGCTGGCTCGATTCTGACCCCCCGACCAGGATACACGCCCCATAACCATCGCCATCTACCAAGCTTACCCTCCTACCCCGACCGCATCTACACGTCCCGCGAATCAAAATGAGCACCTCCATATCCTCCACTGAGTTCCCCTACAACCTGTAAGTAGCTCCCATCGCGACAATTCCAGCTCGCTCTCAACCTCCCGAAGAACCCCCCCCCCTTCCGGGCAATTGACAAATATCTGATATCCGCCGCAACAGGACCATCTCCCTTCCCCTCCCAACCAACCGCCTCGCCTCGTCTGCCCTCCGTACTCTTGAAGTCGACGCCGAGCTCTCTCCCTTCGTCAAGCGCACCCTGACCCTGACCAGCCCGGACAGAGATCAAGCCGCCGACGAGGCCGCAAAGACCGTCCTGGAGACGACGTACTATGCGACCACGAATCGGATGCTCCGCGTCGCGGTGAACGGGTTCATGGAGAGTCTAGGCGTTGTGCTTGGGGTCATGGAGGAGCTGGATGTGGATGTGCTGGAATTGGGAGATGCAAAATGAGTTTGCGCTGGGACGGGAAAAGATACGAGGGCGGTTACCTCCTTATCGACATCAGATGGAGAGCAAAGAGTGAATTGACGGGACGAAGAAATTACTGTGGCCGGCCATTCTATCTACAAGGCATGGTCCAACTGCATCACGCAAAGGCAGGCAGGAATCGTTCAAAAAGGGGTGGAATCAGGCAATCCTGTATCGGGCCCGATCGGGCCTTGTTAAGGATTTTGCGGCAGGGCCCCGGGGCTTGCAGCAAGCCCTGGAACCCGTCATGCAGGGTCATCAGAGGATTCTATAGTCCAAAGCGCACGCCTGGGGGCGGGCTGTACAGTAAGATATGTGTGGTTAGTGCGCAGGGATTCAGTCCTGACGGTGGCTGACACGAGATTTTTCGGTTCTCGCCTCTCTCGGAGACATACGGCTGATCGGCTGGTTGGGTTCGGGTTGATTTGTCTGAGGACGTTTATGCAGCACATGCTGGCTTCATGTACATCTACACCTTTCATAACACTCGAACACAGCCTCAAAAAATGTTCAAGGCACCGAACCACGAAAATGCTGATAAGAAGCGGAGTCCGAGACCCGGCGGAATAATTGGATCACGGGCATCGGAAAAAGGTCGTCGCTCGTCAGCCTGGAACTCCACTTTTTCTTACTGCGTAAATCCTATCGGGCCATTTCCAGTAGGCCAGTTCATTTAGACTGAGTAGTAAGGTAGCTTAATGAAGAAAAAGAATTTGGAATTCTGCCACCGTTCATTTACTTAATCCCAAGTACTGCGGATGTTCGCCCCGCGCAGGGGAGGGGATAAGGGCAGCACGCGGTCATATGTCAGTGCATCTCCCAAAGCAGCAATAGGACCGGGACCGGGGGATGTTCTGGACAGCCAAAGATGACAAACCCAATTCCCATCGATCGACCCGCCGTTTTGAAGGATGATGACATCGTCCTACTCTTTTTTTTTTTTTTTTTCTTCTTCTGCTGCTTCTGATCACTGAAGTAAGTTAGTAAGTCAGTAAGTCAGTCAGTAACTCGGAGTAGGTTCTCTCCATTGAGGTAGTCTCCATTCGGATTTCGGAAACGTGGACCCCCGATAGAGACGTGTGGTCCAGACAAATGACTTGAACATCCGAGAAGTAATTATTAACTGGATTGTTGGTACAGAAACAACCCGAACGATTGAAAAGTGTTTCCCCATGCGCCGCCCATTGATCGCGTCTATCGCATATAAACCATCGGCCACACCACGGTTAATCCTTCCTTCGTTCCCTGCGCAATCCTGCATTCCACTTCCTTCCCCGCTCCGCAATAGCTCCTGTTTCTTTGCGACTACTACTACTCCTCCTCGTCCTTGTCCTCGTCCATTGCGACAACCACAACAACTATACTTCGCCCTCTCACGAACCCACCATCTGCGACTCAGTTCATCCTCCGCAAACATGTCTTCCGCTACCACTTTCTACGACTTCGAGCCCGTCGATAGTACGTCCTTTTCCCTTCCCCCGCTCGCTCGGCGACCCCTCCCTCACCAAAATAACAAAATAACAAAAAAAAAAAGCAAAAGCTTCCCCAAACTTTCTCTTTGCATCAACTAATTTCTTCTGAATCAAAATAGAGAAGGGTAACCCCTTTCCCCTCACCGACGTGAAGGGCAAAGTCGTGCTCGTGGTCAACACCGCCTCGAAGTGCGGCTTCACCCCGCAGTTCAAGGGGCTGGAGACTCTCTACCAGGAGCTCAAGGCCCAGTACCCGGAGGACTTCACCATCCTGGGCTTCCCCTGCAACCAGTTCGGCAGCCAGGACCCCGGGTCCAACGACGAGATCCAGTCCTTCTGCCAGCTCAACTACGGCGTCACCTTCCCCGTGCTGGGCAAGCTCGACGTCAACGGCGACAAGGCCCACCCCGTGTGGACCTGGATGAAGCAGGAGCAGCCGGGCCTGCTGGGCATGAAGCGCATCAAGTGGAATTTCGAGAAGTTCTTGATCTCCGCCGACGGCAAGGTGGTCGGCCGCTGGGCCAGTCTGACCAAGCCCGAGTCGCTGAAGGAGCCGATCGTCCAGGAGATCGAGAAGGCGCGGAAGGAGGGCAAGCTGGCCTCCCAGACTAAGGGTGCTGCTGCTGCTGCTGCTGCTGAGGAAGCTCCTACTGCTACGGCGTCGGCTGCCGCGCCTACTCCTGCTGAGGGTGCTGAGGCCAACCTTTAAACAGAATAAATCAGATTACGCTGGGAGAGTCTAATTCGGGTTCGTGGGAAGTTGCGTGGGTCGTTTCAAGTGTGATACCATTTCCTTATTTGTTTTGTTTCTTCTAGGTGGTGGCCTTTATGAATACAATGCTCGTTTTGAATCTGACGAGCTGCCCTGTTCCGTGTATTGATTAATATGAACCAGAATGGAATACCCATCAAGGTCGTTGAGATCCGCCCGACACAGTGGTAAATAATCTTATCAAGCAGTAGCACCATCCTTGGGAATCAAGTTGCGCAGCGACAAATCGTAGACAACGTCTTCCACCTTTTTGACCTGTGTCACAAGCCAATTAGCCTGCCATCCCAGCAGCAGCACTCCGGAAATACTTACGCTGTACTTGATCCCATCACTTTTCTTCCGCAAGATATCGTTTTTCAGGTTCAACAACTGAAAGCCAGCGAACAACTCCTTGATGAAGTTGCTGATCTGCATAGGGCGGGTGTAGTCACCCAGTGTGACCGAGTTGACCGCAAGACGAGACTGTACCAGATTGTTAGAGACATTTTTGGGGAGGGGTCAGGGAGGCACTGACCAGTTCTTCCACCATAGCAATCAACGCGAGGAGATATTCCTCAACGGTCAGATGGAAAGCATCCTCTTCCTTAAGGTTGACAGGCACTGTGGTGGACAAGAGTCAGTATCACAATACAACCTCTTACCCAGACAGAAAATCATAACTTACCACCCAGAAACTTTCCCACCTCTTCAATCGTCAAGAATGAAGCCGAGCGGCTCGACTTGTACTCTTCCAGACCGCCTAGCCAGGCGCAGAGCTCAATCGACGAGACCTAGCAGGGTGGTCAATATTCCGTCCCTTCGTATCCTCACTGAGGCTCTGTCCATGACGACCCTCTAGCAGCAGCGAGATAACGAGACCAGAGAAGAATAAGCCGCAGAGACGCACCAGATTCTGAAGCTCCCGCGTCCACACCCCATTGTACTTGTAGAAAGGGTGCTTATCCGCTACATCCCTCAAACGAGAGACCTCATCTCTCTGCGCGAGGATCGCCTTAGTCACATCGTCGAGAACGGGTTTCACTATCTCCCTATCAGCTACTCCTTCCCCTTCGAGAAGTCTCAAGAACCGAATCCAAAGATTGAAGTAACATACATTGACCAGCAGGCGTCGAGTGGGCACGCGAAAGAATAGCTTGCGTGGATCGTCCTGTAACCAATCATCAGAGGATGTGCTTCCTTCACATCCTATATCCCCATAGGAGCTCTTTGACTTGCGGGGAATAGGTACCCTTTCGTGCCAGCGTCTGCACGATATCATGAAGTTCCTGTTTTGTAGCTATTCAGCTGCCGTTGCTTTTTCGCCGGGGGGAGGGCTTGGCGCGGAGCTCTTGCGCTTCTTACATCGCGAACGGCGGTCTCTTCGTCGATTTTCGACTGGAGATCCTCGAAGATTTGGTGGTCGATCATTTTGAGTACTTGAATTTCTTCTGGATCTATGGAATTGTTGGTGGGGTTTGATTCTCTCTGATCGACTCGATTCAGATGTGGTGGAAGGGTGTTTGATTGTTACGTCAGGTAACGCCGTGAGAAAGAAATTGTGGGGCTCGAGGTGGAAGGAAGGAAGGAGGGAAGGAAGGAGATTCTGCCGCTCGCTCTCTTTACTTCGATTGTGACGATCTCGGAAACGAATCGCAGCAGGTGGGCTATTATTCTGAAGTCAGAGTGCTAGGAATTTGTGCAGTGTGATTATTCGAGTGTCATTATGTTTATCTTGTGGAAACCCTAGAAGCAAGATATGTTGCGTCGCGGAGAGAACTGTTAGATTTATATCTTCACAGCAGGAAAGTAAACCACGCCACGAGACATTTTTACAACTACCTAATCTACTACTTTCCAAAAACCATCTAGTTAGAATCGTGTGCATCTGACCGCATATCAAGCTGCTCTACCCATTTCATAAATTCATTAAACTAAGAACGACACAAAAGTACCACCCATCCATCTACCCCCCCCCAGACCGTAGCCAACGCAACCAACCAGCTCAGTAACGATATCTCGTCGAATAATCTACACACCCAGTCAGTCAGCCATACAGCAAGTCCCCAACAGAGCACCATGAACCCAAGACCAAAACGAACAAACAATGGGAGGAATACATACCCTTAGGACTAACCACCAGACCGCGGCCCTTCTTGGCCCCCTTGTAGATCGTCTCGATGATATCGATCATCTCCTGCTTATCCTCCAGCACCCAGTTCAGCTTGTTATTGTTACCCGTGCCGAAATCACACATCATGTGCTTGTTTCGGTAGAAGAACATGATGGTCATCGGGTCGAAGAGCTCGTACATCGTGTTGAACTCGGGAACCTCGTCGATGTCGCAGAGGTAGATCACGGCGAAGTCTGCCGAGAGCCTTTGTGTGAGTGATGTGCCTGGGGGCTTTGGGGTGAGAAGCGAAAGTTTCACTCTACGTACTCTTGACCCGCTCGGCGATCTTGAAGAGGACTTCATCTTGACGCATGCCTGGTACGGAGGGTTAGCTGACGCAGGAACCGAGGATGGAAAAGAAGGAGCTTACAGTCGACATCATGGTCGCGACCGAATCGGATGACCTGTTACGAGCATTGGTTTATCAGTCGGGTGTCGTTCGTAGCGGAGATGCGGTACGCACCACAAGTCGGTCTTCCTCAGACAGGATGGCTTGGTCGACGTGCCAGGCGGTCCGCAGATGCGGCAACACGACGGAACCCATGATGAACTACGGATGCGATTTTGGTGATGGTCGTGAGGTTCGAGAGGGAGCGTTTGCAGTGACAAACGAGAAATCTAGTTCGCTATCACGTGGAAGACAGATGAAGAAGAGTAGTGGGCGGGGACGATGGGGTGGCTGGCGTTTTACTTCTCCCAAGGTTCGAGGTGCTTCAATTTACATCTAAAGCGTAGGTGGACAATAGCGCTAAAGTGACTATTATTTGTACGAATTATGGCTCTCGCCAGATGAGGGAGGATATTTTCTTCTCCAACCAGTCGGCAAGCCGACAAAATTGATGAAAAAAAGGTGGTTCGCGTCGATTGGGGGTAGTGTAAGCCCAATGACACTGTGTGGTCCGACATGCGCAAGCACAGAGGTCAGGCCACAGGGTACAAAAATAAGATTAATCAATGTTGTGTTCCTTAGAACACTTTCAGAGATTAAACTGAAAAGAACAGATACTACACTTGATCTAAGCCAAAAGGCAAAGAGAGCTGGAAAAGAAAAGAAGAAAAAGTCTAAAGAGAAACGGGCGGCGAGAGGTATTTATCCTGTCGGTGAGGGGGCCCGTGCGCCGCTAGTTCACTAGCGTCGGCTACCTCAACCACAAGCGAGGCATTCTCTGCCTTAGGAAAACACTTCCGCCATAAACATCAGGCTGCAACTTCTGCCCAGTCAAATGACAGCCGAAGCCCTAATCAACAGAAATCAAGCCCTACTCACATTGCCAGAAGCGGATTAGTGGGGCGCACTCGACCCTCAACCAGCGAGATCTGACCATCCCGTACCCTAGTGGACGTTTTCTTTCCCCCCCCAACTCCCATCAGGCGCAGGATACTCACCTCTTTGCGACCAGCTACTTTCTCTCTCTATCCCCCCGAGAAACTCCCCCCCCCTACAGTCACAATGGCTCCCGTTGCTGTATGTTTCCTTTCCACAAATCGCTTTGCTGTTCCCCCATGAGAGTTGTTCTATCCATGATCGTCTGGACATGACAGCGCTGGCGCTGGAAATTTCTAGACGGCGAAGATTGAACGAAAATCTCTGGATACATGAACCTCTCTTGGGATTTCGCCATCATGGAGCAGTAGGCTAATTGTATTCTTCCCCCGACAAATAGGCTCGTGGTCGCAAGGCCCAGAAGGTCACCCAGAAGGTATGTTAGAACACCCAATGATCGCAAAACTACAAATCGAAGGCAGGAGCTAATCTCTCTCTCTCGATAGTATGTCATCAACGCTTCCCAGCCCGTGAGCGACAAGATCTTCGACCTCTCTGCTTTCGAGAAGTTCCTCCACGACCGCATCAAGGTTGAGGGCCGTGTCGGCAACCTCGGCGACAAGGTCGTCATCTCCCAGGCTGGCGAGGGCAAGATCGAGGTTGTTGCCCACATCCCCTTCTCTGGCCGCTACCTCAAGTACCTGTAAGTCGACCTTTATACGAGAATATAGAGGCGAGAGCGAATTCGCTGATCTGGTTATCTTTCCCTCTCCACAGCACCAAGAAGTACCTCAAGAAGCAGCAGCTCCGTGACTGGCTCCGCGTCGTCTCCACCTCCAAGGGTGTCTACGAGCTCCGCTTCTACAACGTCGTCAACGACGAGGGTGAGGAGGATGAGGAGTAAATTCTCTCCTCCCAGAAGCAGCAAATAGACAACCAAAAATAAAAACGCGGAAAATATGATCAGACTTGGAAACTTCACTCCGGCTATTGGGGGGTCTGCCAATGTCAACTTTTTCATGCACCGGGATTAGGATGGATGAGTCTGGTTGGAGATCATGGGTGTGCGCATTGGGAGGGATTCCTGCGTGGCTTCTCGCTCCATCTGGATTTGAGGCAGTGGACGTTCTACACCTGAAAAGGCGACCTCCACCCTCGTCCACTGGGCTCTCGTTGTCGCTCGATCTACTCATGACGTTATGAATGGTAGATATGAATCAATGAAGCAAACCTATATCTCAAATCTCTTTTTACTTTGAACATAGACGTAGGATGGGTATCACATTATATAAGGATAACTGCAGTATAGCGGCTTGTATCGATGACGTTAATTCAATGCCCCAGACTAGAATTCGTTCTCTTGTGACCGGCACCGGGCCCAAGCCTCCCCGCTGATGATCCAGTCTCAGCTGCCTCTGTCCCTGGTGGGGCTACTAATTTGTCGCCTTGGATCTGCCAGCCTTTCGATTTCAGGACCTTCCAGGTCTCAACTGCCTTGACTCTGACCAAGTCACCTGTAGCAATTGCGTCCTCTTTCGAATCATGACCAAGACTACCGCCTGTTTGTATGTCGCGGTCAAGATGTCTTCGGCATAAGGTCTTCAGGCTCATTCGATTCGGTAATCCGCGCGGATGGGGATATAGCATGACGGTATCGATGATTGTCGGGTGAATTATCCGACAAGCATTCAGATCGTTGTCGATCGCATGTCCGATCAGAGGCGTATCCGGTTGAAGATGACTAAATAGCAGAGCGCGGGCTGCAGCCGGCGAATCGACAACCTTCAAAGCTGGCTCCTCTACCTCCCCATTTTCATGTAGTGTCGCTTCCGTCTCTTTCTGAAAACCGTCATAGGGCATAGCTTTGGTGTAGTGTTCAGGGAAGACACCAGAGAATCGCGAGTTCAAATCCAATACTTCCCCCATCGGCCTGACGAGAACATCCAAAAGTGCCTTGCCCTGAGGCCAGCTGATCGCGGTCAGTCGGATCAATTCCAACCCTAACGTGGTATAGCCCATCTCACAGTCGAAGCAGACTGGTGGAAGTGGCCCCTTGAATGGCTGTGCTGGCGTCTCCGTGAATTGGAGAACAGAAGCAAGTCTTTTGGTTTCTGACACCTTGTAGACATGAGTTTTGCCTTTGGTGCAGCCGGAAGAAGTACCCAACGTTTCATTACAACACGAATAGTAAGCTTCTTTGTGTCCTGTTATATGATCCGTCTGTTTTCTTGGAGGGTAGAACGGCTTCCCGGGATGGTGGACACATTCTCCCCCGGACGTCAAAGAACCATCCTCGCGACGGCCTGGGAAGACCTGGAACCTCCCACCGCACCGATCACATTTCTCCCAGCCCTTGGATTCTGCGACGCCTTTCTTGGCACTCTCGACCTCCGCAGCTGAAGGTGCCTTTGTAACATATCCAAACTGTTCGAGCCCTTCAACTGGAGTAACCAGTTGACTCGCCAGGGCAATCTCCGCTTCTGCACTCAACCCAGTACTAAGAGCCTGCGGCCTCGACTGCTCCGCGTTGGGGTCGATTTTGTAGTACCGCTCGTTCAGATGATTCTTGACCTCCGTCGTCCATTCCTCTTTAGTCATTTTCATGAACCTGACGATGCGAAGCTTGATGACATTAGCGTATATGCTCGGATTGCCTCGGGCGGTCTTCTCCTCTTCGTCCAGGGCCATTGTGACGAGCTCATTTGGTGTGAGAACAAGCCATTTGTCTTTACTGTCTCTGTCCTTGGCGATCTTCTCGTTCTGCGAAGACATGGCAGCATGCAGTTTCGTCAGGATAGATAATCTGGTTCCATGCGGCGCGGGCGCCTTCGTCAACATGCGGGGATTCAAACTTTCCCGGGGAGCCTGCCTCGGCGGGCGCGACTTCGCCGCCGCCGCCGCCGCTGAGGGCCTTGCAGGCGCAGGCGCATTCGTCTTGACTGCCGTTGATACTGGTTTCGGTGGCGGAGAGACCCTTCGAGACAGTGACTGTAGTTTGACCGGCTGTGAAGGCGCCGACGGCTGAGGTGCAGGTGAAGACTTGGCCGAAACACTTGGTCCAGAGTCTGCAGCTTTGGATGGGGCTGGTGGAGGATCCCTCTTCAAGATTTTCGGTTCTCTCTCAGTCGTATCTGCTGCGGCTGACATTGTGGGAGTTGACTTCCCAAACAAGGCAGCATTTCCGGGCTTCTCATTTGATGGATGGGTAACAGCTGAGGCAATCTTCTGACTATCATCAATTGGAGCGAGTTCCTTGTGAGAGAACATGCAAGTCAAGAGAGAGCAGCTGTGGCCCTCCGGACAAGGTATGTCCTTAAACAAGCCGAGGGGGGCGAACATCGTGAGAAGAGGGTAAAGATAAGATGCTCAAGGAGAGATACAGGAAAAGATGAGAGATCATAGCCCAAAAGAGTGACAACCAATACTCATCATGGAATGCAACACAGCAAGCACCCAAACAGAGACCAATCAGGTGTTGCGATTCTCTTGTATGGATAAATGACTCGGTGTTTGGCAAGCCGCGGGGGAGAAGCAGTGCGGCTAGTCCTGGAGCTGGAAACAGAAGATCATGTCGAATTAAGATGCGAGCGAGCCGGGAATAATTGCTCAGCGTCTAGTCAAGGTAGCCAGTCTGTCTTGATTCCTTGCATAGACCCGAATAACAAAGAGAATATCAAGTGGGTTGTCAAAAGGGAAAGCGTCCAAAGGCTAGACTGACTGGGAGATGACCTCGGTGCAAATGATGCAAACACCAGACACGAACAAACAAAGGCGCACTCTTCTTGCTGTTCCTTAACCTCAATCACCATCCTCACTTGGAAGATTTGAAGGCTTACGCAACGACAATGGCCTACCTAAACATGCCTACGTAATAGCCAGTCTTACCAAGTCTGTGTAAGACCAGTCCGAGACTCCTGGTGTGAACTGCCACCGGCCCTTCTGGGCCATTCATTGCATCAGGCACCGGCGATGACGTCTCGTTATCGGGCTGAGTCAGCGCTTGCTGGGCTCCCCTTTGCTAGGGAACCTATTCTTGACGGTCGGACAACGAAGGAAGCAGCCACATGGCCCCTTTAATTGCGATAGAACCGTGCCTAAGTCCGGCGGAGACTGGCGGACAATGCTGAGAAGGTCTTACTTAAACCGCCTGCTGATCTTGACCGCAAGAGGACACTCTTAATTCCCACATATCGACTATGGAGCTGGAGCTTGATAACGGCCGTACGCCGGCTGAGACGTCGCGCAAGGCAGATCATCTCTGCGTGTTGGTCCATGGGTAAGAAGATCCTTCGATGAAGGCAGACAACGAGGCATTCTGCTGACCGTCCTGTCTCGTCAGACTATGGGGCAATCCCTCCCACCTGGACTTCATCGCCACCTCCCTGAGAGACCGATACAAGGAGGACCGCCTCCACATCCTTGCCGCAAAGCGCAACTCCGGAAACTACACCTACGACGGCATTGAGCTCGGTGGAGAGCGCTTAGCACACGAGGTGGAAGAGACCCTGGAGCAACTCGCCGAAGAAGGCCACAACATCCGGAAACTGAGTATCGTCGGCTACTCGCTCGGAGGGCTGGTGGCACGATACGCTTTAGGGCTGCTCTATGCGCGGGGGTGGCTCGACAAACTGGAGCCCGTCAACTTCACTACCTTTGCCTCGCCGCACGTCGGGGTGCGCACCCCGCTGAAGGGGACCTGGGGCTTCCTGTGGAACAATGTGGGGCCACGGACGATCTCTATGTCGGGGAAGCAGCTGTTCATGATCGACACCTTTCGCGACACGGGGCGCCCGCTGCTCAGCGTGCTGGCGGATCCGGAAAGCATATTCATCAAGGCGTTGAAGACCTTCAAGCATCGTTGCGTCTATTCGAACATCGTCAACGACCGATCCACCATCTTCTACACCACCGCTATCTCGGCCATCAACCCCTTCGAGGACCTGGAGAATGTACAGTTCGACTACGTGGAGGGATATGAGCCCGTCATAATTGATGCCACCAAGCCCGTCGCCGTCGTCCAGCCTCAGCGTCCGTCCTGGCTGGAGCAGCTCCAGCGCCAGGTCACCAGTTTCTTCACGAACCTGCCCTTCCAAACCTTCTTCACGGTCTTCGTCATCATCGGCGTGCCCTTATTCTTATTGAACGCGGTGGTCCAGAACTTCCGCAGCCAACGCCGCATCCGCCACCACGAGGCCGCACACTCGCGCAAGATCTTCGACCGCTACCGCGTGCCCGTCCTAGTCAACGAGGTCCAACACGTCGTCGAGGAGGTCTTCGAGAGCGCCGGCGCTCGCCAGAAGCCCGACTATCTGTCTTTCACCACCACATCCAACAGCACGAAGAAGACATCCGACGCAACCAAGAGGCGTCAAGTCACAACCTCGTCCGCGACGGACCTGGAAAGCAAACTCGATGAGGACGACATCGAGCCTCTGCTCCGGCGCAGCAGCACGACCGACAGTTTTGCGAGCGAGAAATTCCCCACGCTGGCACTGACTCCGGCGCAGTTCTCCATCATCGACTCGCTGAACTCGGTGGGCTTCCGGAAATTTCCGGTCTGGATCCATAACCATCGGCATAGCCATGCGGCCATCATCATTCGGGTCAAGAAGAGGGGATTCGACGAGGGTCAGGTGGTTGTGAAGCATTGGTTAGACCAGGAGTTTGAGATATAGACCCTGCCCGTCATTGCTCCTTTAGGGAGGTCGTATATTTGGAATAGAGGCCAGCGCGACCGTAGAAAGACATACCCATTCTTATTTTGATGCAAAAAGACAGCATGCCGGGTCTTGCCTTCTCGATGAAGGCGTTAGTTAAGTCACTTGGTTTATGTAGGGAATTAGATAGATAGAATCACATCTTCAGTACTACACAAACATTCTTCACTCTCCGTTAATAATTTCTCCCGAACATCACCTACACCTACTAAACCCTTCCACTATTGCTAAGCAAAACAAAAGCTCCGCCCTCGAACAACTGGAACCATGCCCCGAACACCGTAAATTGACCCCATATCGCAAATCAGCACCAAACAAACCCAATTAATGAATCAAGCTCAATTCCTCTGGTGAAACCAAGAGCGTGATGATAACGCAATGATTAGCACAGTATGACATCTACTGGTTGTGTAGTGTAGTGGTTATCACTTTGGATTTTGAAGTCAAATGAACAGAAAGTTCCAATAACCCCGGTTCGAACCCGGGCACGACCTTAGTTTTTGCATCATCTTTCTTTTTCTGCTCGGCACATCACCAACGATGATGACTTTACTGATGATTTCGATAGGAACGTACAACTCTTGTTCGGTGGGTGTTGAATAGTGTGCCACGAATGTCAGTCACATCTATCTCCTGCGCTTTGTTGCTGGTGCTGCTTTGTGTTGCCGATGGATTAGGTATTGAAATCAGCCCTACTTGGCTGGGGTGGTTGCGGCCTCTCTGTCTAATCGTAGAGTATGAGTGCTTGAAAGAGGTGGTGGGGGGGGGGGGGAGGCCTGATCCCTATTCGGTCTTTTTCACCTTGGAATCAGTGGAGTAATCGAACAATCTCAATACTCTGGTCTCATACATGCGTTAAGGCACAAGGGATTACACTTGGTTCTATGTATAATCGGAATGCAGCCTTCACTGTCAACATAGCTTGTCAAATAGGTCCCGGTGAGTTGAGACAATGATATTGTTCTCTAGAGCTTGTCAGTCAGTTAATGTAGCAAACTGATCGCGTCATTACAACCTCTGCCCCTTGAGACCGGCGTCCTCTGGAACCCTCGCACCTTCCTCAGGATCCAACCCTTTGCTACTGCGTGTTACAGTATACATGGAGACCGAGGTCCATGATAAAGATTGTAAACTCTAGTCAGTACACCAACGGACCGCTAAGAAGCAGATATTGTTAATGGAGAGCTGCTACTGGAAGATGCACTACCAGGAGACCTGAGTGTGCGATGGGTGCGGCTCAAAAGGTTTCAACGACATCTATCAGTATACTCCATCTTTTGCTGCAGTTATCACCATATTTCATGTCTCAAGTGAAAAGAGCGAGCGCTCAGCATTGGCTAGCTCTTAATCTCTGAGGAAGTGTTCAGAAATACTATACTTACGCCACACACCTACCATAGTATTCTCCCGAGACAGCAGGACAGGATCCCATAAGCCGCGAGAAGAACAGATGCCATGAGTGTATTAATAGACCGTGCCCTGCTGGCGCTACCACGCTCCTGGAGCCTCAGACCATGAACAACGGGGACGAAATGGCAAGAACCGCTGAGTGGTTGAGCAAGCTCTCTGGGGTCGACCGGAGCGCGGCATGGCGGCCGATTTCCGGATTACCCGCTATTACGAGCCACACCTTTGAATTCTTTCAACACGGGCCCAGAAGACTTTGGCGAAAGCGACGAAGGATATGACGATAGTAGCGAATATGAGTTCGAGGATCACATGCCGTCGCGTGTGCCGGAGGCCAATCCGCTGATCATTTTCATCTATATCCCCGACGAGAACGAAGAACCCTGGGAGCAGCTGCCGCCGGGCTTAAGAGACCAGGTCGACGTGGAGTGGACTTGCACTGTCGCGGGACTTGAGCGGCTGGTATGGCATAGGGCGTACGATTGCCTAGACAACGAGAGCGACGGCGAGCAGGCCCCACGAGCACCCAACCCGCAGCTGCGCGGGGTTGTCTTGACCACCGTAGAGCTCCTCAGTGAGTCGAACAAGATCCTGCTGGATCATATCAACCATCGGCAAGAGACCTTGAATGCGCGCTGGCCATTGATCCCGGCGCCCGAGATACACGACGCGGCACACGAGGAGATAGTGCAGGGTTTTCTCTCTCATCGATGGGGCTTACCTTGGCGGTTGTCGGGCTGCACAATTGGCTCCTGCAACTTTGGGGTGAGCCTCGAAGCCCAGGCACGCTGGGATCTGGAGGAGGAGGAGGTGGAGGAACTGAAATGCACTTTCTCCCGTGGCGTCTACAGGCTGCTGGATGTTGAGCGGAATGACCGTTTCCTAGAGCTGTGCCCGGGACAACTCATGGTCCGTGGTGTAGCTTTGAACAATCTTTACTCTGCCGTGGGTGACTATTATTTCATGCCTGAAGCAACTGACGACACCTTGAATGAGTGGTGCTCTGCTGTGCTGAACTGGGGCTCTCACCGTGGCTTTGTGGGCTGTTTGACCATAGGAAGCGCCGTGGTGCACACCGTCTTGTTGATGTGTGGCATCCAGCGAAGGGGCCTTTCTATGTGGCATGTCATTGACTCAGATATGAACGTCGCTCAGCTTACCTGTACTTTCAGCTAGGTCTGTAAAACAGTCTTTCCACCTGACAACTCGTCATAT